TTGATGAAATGGAAGAACAAATGAGTACTCTCAAAGACACTGAAATAAAAAATTAAAACAGAAAAGGAAAGAGAAGTGAAAAGGAAAAAGAATGAAGAAACACTTCAAGAGCTGTCTGATACCATGAGGAAAGGAAATGTAAGAATTATAGGTCTCCCAGAAGATGAGGAGAAAGGCCAAGGGATTGAGAAAATATTCACAGAGATAAGTGAAGAGAACTTCCCAAGTATGAAGAAGATGATGAAAATAGACATACAAGAAGCTAGATGAACACTAAACTTCCACAATGGAAGGAAAAATACGGCAAGACACATAATAGTAAAGCTCCCAAGAATCCAAGACAAGGAAAAATAATGAAGTTGACAAGAGGGAAGAAATAAATGACCTGTAAAGGAAAACCTATCAGGCTGGTGTCAGATTTCTCCAAAGAAACATTAAAGGCAAGAACAGAGTGGAGAGACATATTGAACAAATTCCAATACATCAAATGCCAACCAAGAATACTTTACCTTGAAAAGCTCTCCTTCCTCTATGAAGAAAAAATAAGGACATTCTTGAACAAACAGAAAGTCCATAATTTTGTCAAGACAAAATCTCCACTCCAAAATATACTGCAAGAAGTCCGTAAGCCAAAGTCAACAGAGGGATGAGTAAGAACAGACCAAAACAAGAAATAAAATCACAGAAAGACAAACAAAATGGCAAATACTGATGCTAATGTATCAATATTAACTCTAAATGTAAATGGTTTAAACTGATCAATAAAAAGAGAGTTGAAGATTGGATTAAAAAACAGAACCCAACCTTCTGCTGTCTCCAGGAAACCCATTTAACTCCAAAAGATAAAAATAGATTGAAAGTAAAAGGATGAAAAACAATCCTATAAAAAATGGACCAATAAAGAAGGCAGGAACAGCTATATTTATATCTGATAAAATAGACTTCAAACAGTGTAAAAGACATAGATGGCATTATATGATAAGTAAAGGGACAATACAACAAGAAGACAAAACACTGATCAATATATGCTCACCAAATGAAGGAACACCAAGATATATCAGGAGATTATTGTTGTCCATGAAAACATATATTAGAGAAAATACACATATAATAGGAGATTGCAATATACCACACTCAACAATGGACAGATCAGTAAGACAAAAAATACGGACACTAAAGCTCGGAAAAAGAACTAGCCCTCATGTGCTTAACAGATATCTATAGAACACTGTACCCCCAAAAAGCCAAGTACACATTTTTCTCAAATCCACATGGATCATTCTCAAGGATCGATCACATAGTGGGACACAAGACAAATATCAATAGATATACTAAATTTGAAATTGTACCAACTATCTTTTCTGACCATGAACAAGTCAAATTAGAAATAAACCAAGTGATGAAGGCAAGTAGCCCTCCTACATTGTGGAGATTGAAACCAACACTATTGGGAGGACCACTGGATCAATGAGGAGATCAAAGAAGAAATTTAAAAATT